ATAAATGTCTGCAATGTACAGAATCTGGGGTTGCCACTTGTTTCTTAGCAATTAACAATGCTCCTGGTGTTGAACAGCAAATCCTAGTCAAGGAAAAGACCATCCTAAAACACTTTGTCCATACTAGTGCTGCCTGAAAGAAGCAACGAAATTTACACTAGTGGTTTATATTTAACCAAGACTGAAAGTTACTGAAGTTTTTCAGAGCAGCTACCAGCTCTGCTTTTGAGCCATTCTTGTGTTTTGATATTTGACCTGTGCTTTGTAGAAACTTACTATGTATCAGGTAGCCACAAAGGTGTGTGAAAAATTGCCAGCATCTTTGACCTTACCCCCATTTCTTCCTTTTTTGAGGTCATGTGATTCATTGCCATATTTCACAAATCTCTGTGTACACATTTTACACAGCAAACCACAGCTTCTCTGGTCATTATGGAAAGGTGTAGGTAAAAACAACCAATGCCCTTCCTCCATCACAAATGAAAAAAAAAGTGGGGGAAGAAACTTCCCCTTCCCGGGTCTCTCCTTGCCTTGGAATGCTAATGGCATTCTGACAGGATGTTGCTCTGTATAAAAGAGACACAAAAATGGATCTTTCTACTGAAAAAAATCTGAGATGGTAGCTAAGGATTTTAGTGAAAAAGTAAAAGCAGAGAAAACCTTACTAAGGATATTCTTTGAAAAGCATTAGTATCACTGTAGAATTATTTCTCATTGTAATTGTAGTGAGGGAAGCACCTTTTCCATTCTCATCAACATGGCAACATGCCTTCTGTTCAGCTCCTGTGGTGTTCTGTAGACTGCAATGTTCCCCTTCTTCTGTAGTGTTGGTTAAGGTATGTAATGATAAAGATAGCCTGGTTTCATGCAAGTCATTTTAATCTTATAAAAGGATGAGATGATGACAGCCTGCACCAAAGTAAAAGCACACTTTTTGATCCACCTGTGAGAAACTGCAGAAGGGATTAACCCTCTTTCTCCTTTATGTCATAGATGAAATTTCTGTGTGATGTTAGCCACTGAGGGAATAAGAAGTGCATTTTCAGAGGTATTGTCAGAAATGCTCCCTCTGCCCAGTTGTTTGTTCTAAACAAGTGAGTTCTTAAGGAGCATATGGAAAGCAACTTGGCATTTTTAGAAGGCGTGGTCTGCTTTTTGATTCTTTATACTTTGGCCTGTGTATTCTTGGCACTTTTACATAGTTTATTTGAGCCAAGCTATTACTTAGCAGCAGTGCATCTTTGATACAAAGATAATGTTTGGGACACTCTGGGCAGATTGGAAGGAGTTCTTCCATTTTTGAAAGCAAATGCTAATTTTTTAAATGAACAATATGCATAAAAGTTTGAGTAGATGTTGGAAGATTCATGGGAGAATGAGGAGGAGTCGTTGTGGCTGCATAAAGTAATATTTGCTCAAGAAGCCTGAAGTGCAGCTGGACTCGTGTCCAGAATTTGGGAATGGCTGAGAGACAGATATTTTTTCTTCTGATTAAGTAGTATTTGCCACTGCAAAGCACAAAAGGAATGTTCACTAGCCTGCCTCATTTGAGCTGGAAAATGAAACATAGTGATCAATTCTATACAATGCACAGTTCCTCAGACAGCATTCGGAAAGGGGATGGAACGACCAAGACGGTCAGAGATGCCAACAGGAGTGACGGTCTGTCAGCTTAACTATTAAGTTATTGCAACAATAAAAAATTGCTTGTTCTGTTTACTGTTATGTTGTCCTTTACTCTTTTCATGCATGGAAATTAAAAAATTGTTAAAATCACCTAATGCACAGTGGCCCAAAGTATTATAAAATATAAAGTGTTTCCTGGCATGCTCGTCATTGCTACAAGAGTTCCTTGTTTGCCCTTTCTTGGCTTTTATCATAAAACAATGTTTTATAAAGGGAAGATACAAATCTCTAGATTTCTTTCTCTGTCCATTTAATCTTCTGCTTTGCTTCCTTATGTGTCTGTTATCCTTTTTGAAGGGTGATGTAGGTGCAGATAGCTTGACAGGAGAAGGAGACATAAACGTGCAAAACCTAAGACCACAGAAATTCCTGGCCGGAGATTGTTCTTAGGGACAGCATTATGGTGCAGGAACACATGGCCCATTTCCTTTCTATTTTCCTCAGCATCAGCAACTGTTGGATTAAGAACCTTCAAGTTCTTGTTTAAAAATTGATCACACATAAATGTCTGTATAGTAATGGGACAGGTAGTAATCCTGCTCAATGAAATGAATTTTGATATGCAGGTGTGAAAGTCCCTGTATATATAGTTCTAGGTACTACTTAGAATTCAATGGGAGATTTCACAAGGAGTAGCAAGTCATTTTCACACTCTCAGTTGAAAAATGGGGGGATAATTTTGCTGCTTTTCAAGTCAGCCCACTGCTGCATAAATGCCTTGAAAGCATTCGAAAATGAAACAGTTTGAGTAGAGTAAAATAACATTTTATTAATGCTTTCTTTTAAGATCAGATATGTTTGATTTGAAAAACTTGTCTAAATGCTCTTAAGCGTGCTCATGCATTGAATTTTTGTATGTAGTGTTATTTGGGTAACCGTACTAAAAGAAGCCAATGCCCATTTTTGCAAAAGAGAGGGTGGTAAGTGAACAAACAAAAGTGATTTCTTTTTTTGTTTCTACTGATCAAATGTAAAATTGGCTGATCAAGACATGAGCTTAAATAATAAAATAATTCATATCTGCAGTGCTTAATTTTCAAATTTTTAGCCCAAGCTATTGACCAGTTACTTCTAAGTAGACAACCTTATTCATTTGGAAAAAGTGGGAATGCTGCAACTTTGTTTTCATTTTTTGTGAATTGTTTAAGCTACATTTTCTAAGAATATATTCATATAACTTCTGTTGGTGTCACAGTTTTGTTTTGAAAGTGTTACAGTGGGCATCAGAACAAGCCAAACCAGACTGTTTTAGCTGATCCCAGTTTTGTCAGGCTAGAGTTGAAAAATGGGAACTAGAAGGTCAGCAACTGAGGTACTCAACCATGCTGAACATAGAGTTACTGCATAAAAAGCATTGCATTGTCAGCTGAGCAGACTCCAGCACACCTGACTATTTCTCTTGGCTGAGCCCTCTAGAGCTCTAATGGGTATGTGGAAAAGATTGGATTTTTTAGAAAGCATTTGCCATCCCTGCCCCCTTTCCCCTGCTTTCAGATGGCATTTTATAAACACACAGTTCCAGGTGACCTCCTTCATCTTCCTACCTGGGAAGTGGCTGTGTAGAACTATAACTGATGCTGAATATTTTGATGTAGACAATAATTTCACTGTCTGTCCAGAGATATAATTTTGTGAATTCCACTTTAGGTTAAAATGTACTTACTGATGTAAATCTAGCATAACTTTCTTGGATTCTTAGAGTTTAGCTACTCTGGTGCCAAAGAAGTTAAACTTTCTGGCCATTATCTAGCTGCCTTGTTCAGCTGGATTTACATGTGTGGTACCTGACTTTGGCACATGGATGAGAGACAACAGAAGTTACAGGTTTCTCCTGCTAAGGAGATATTCTCTGTAACTTCAACATATGACTCCTCATCCTTTTAATCCAAGAATGATTCTTATCTGTCAGGCCACTAGAAAAACAGTTTTTTCATCTTAGGTTATGGTGAAATTGGCTGTCTTTATTTGAAAAGGTATTAATCTCCTTTTTTTATTAGCATGAACTGCATTTTTTTTTTTTAAAAAGAGTAACAGAATATTTATTTTGCTTTGGTCTCCTTCTGAAGAATTCCTTTTCTACACATTGAATCCTAGCTGAATAAGACACCACCTTCTTTTTCCGTGTTCCTCCTTTGGTGAGAAGCTGTTACAGTAATGTTGCTCATTTGGCACTGTGCATCCTGTGGGCTATTTACTATCTGACTTTAGTTTTGCCAGTGCAGTATGATGACCTGTAGCAGTCCCTATCCTACCTCTGTTACTATGTTCAAGATGTCTCTTATTTTTTTCCTGGGTTCCCCTTTTGCGAGTTTGGGCAGTGATCCAGACCAGTGTGCAACAAGTTTGGCTGTCCTCTTTCTACGTTACCTGGTATATCTGAATCAAAACCCCCTACTTGAGTACAATACTGAGATGAGGATAGATGCTTTTAATTTAGCACACACCATTATTCAGTTTCACTTACCATTTGACATGAGTGAGGTGTTCTGGTCCGGTAATCTGAACAATTAATTTTTTAAGTAATTGCCTGTCAACTGTGATGGGTGAGCAGCAAAACTAGACAAATGCTGTTTTCCCAGGAGCATTGTTTGCAAGGGCAGCTGTGGTATAACCTTTTGGAGAAGGCATGTTTCCTCTTTTGCTTTTAACTGTAATTCAAGGGGTGAAGTAAGCACCTCAAATCTAGGCTGCTTTGCCAAAGAATCTTAAAACAATCAGCAAGGTTGGTGAATGGTTTTCTTTATGAGATCTTATTCTTTAAAAACAATATTTTTAAAGGTGGGGTGTGAAGTTCTGTGGGGGTTTTTATTGTTTTTTTGAGGGGTTGGTGGGGTTCTTGGTTTTGGGATTTTTTTGAGACTGAAACCAACCTGGTGTTTGATACTAAAGTGTTGAAAGACCAGTTTAATTTTGGAAAGAATCCCAAATACCTTGGGGATGTGTAAATCCCGATTCTTAAGAGAGCAAAATGGTACTGTAATGGCTCCTCTTTAGAGGCTTCTCAGTCATGAACTTGTTTTCCTATTACTATAGTGTGCTGTGCAATGTGATGTTTGGAAATTAATACCACAGCACAAGAGAGATTTCTACCCATTTTAAATGCATGTGACTTTAGGGCTCTGTGGAGGAAGGCACCTGACTGAGTGGAAGGGTTTGTGATTGCTGGGAAGGTGGAGGTGTGAGGGTTGTTATGCACCTGCTGGTTGTTATGCACTCTACTGGTCTGTATCACACCAAGTTGACTTTCATGACTTTTCCCACTGACAAGTGATCATAGATCTGGTTTTAACTGCTGCACCTATCACCCTTCCCAGGCAAGGGACCTGAAACTCTTTATGCTGGCCAGAAACTCAATGACAATGAGTGGCACACTGTCCGGGTGGTTCGGCGAGGAAAGAGCCTCAAGCTGATCGTGGATGATGATGTTGCTGAGGGTAAGTGTGATGTATCAGAATTTTTTGATCAAAGATCAGAGATCTTGGCATCTCTGTTCCTAGTCCTTGCCATTATGCTCCTTCTCCCTTCTTCTTTTGTGTATCTTCCCCCCCACGCCTTCCTGTTACCACTCATGTATTTAGTGTTACTATGTTGAAAATGAATGTTCAGGGCTGAGAGACTTCTTAGCCAGCACCAGAAACTTCTGTGACAACTGTAAAATCCTGAGATACAGGTTTAGAGGACAGATAAGCTTGCACTTATCTCAGGCTGTAGAGGTGTTCAGCAGAACTTTCTTGTGATCCAGGCTCTTTCTGAGGTAGACTGAATACACTCCATTCCTGAGTTGCATGTGTGATGGTTTCCAATGCTGTGGAATCAAGGCCAAGGCTCTCTGGACTGTACTTCTGCACAGACTTTTCCTTGATGATAAACCTGCATGTGGTGCATGTGTAACAGAGCATGGATTTATGTCTCTCCTGTTCATTTTTTGTTCGCTCTTTCTCTTTCTCTTTCTCTTTCTCTTTCTCTTTCTCTTTCTCTTTCTCTTTCTCTTTCTCTTTCTCTTTCTCTTTCTCTCTCTCTCTCTCTCTTTCTTTCTCTTTCTCTTTCTCTCTATGTCTGTCTCTCTTTTACCTTTTATTTTTTGTAGTTTGAACATTCTTGATTATTTTCTATTTTTAAATTTATTTTTATTTTTTATTTATTTTCTTTCTTTTTTTAATTTATTTTTTTTTAATTTCCCAAATTCTTGTGCTCATGGTTCAGAGCCATCCAGAAGAAATGCAAGCAAAGCAGTTTTTTCTCAACTTTGGTTTAGAGGTTAGGGAGGATCCTGACTCAACAGAGTGTGCCAGTCTTTTTTTTTTTTTTCTTTTCCCATGATATTTAAAAAAAATTATTTTCTGCATTTCCAGACAGCTTTTTGTGCTCATACTTCTTTTTGCAGGGAAATGTAGTTGGAGGGAGGAAAGAAAAGATCAGTCAGTCAGGAAAGTTGGTGTGTGCCAGGTTAAGATTTGCACTGAACTGATCAAAGTACTCCAGACTGATCCTTTTTTAATTGAAGAATTTTAGAGGTTATACTTCTCAGGTCCATTTCTTCATGACTGAAAGAGCCAGAAACCTATCTATATTTTCTTTTGAAGTTCTGAAATTCTCACAGTTGTATATAACTTCAGGAACTGGGTTTTTGAGAAAAATATCACCAGTCTGGAGGCTGATAATAGAATAATTAAAAAAAGAAAAATGGAACCCTGGATTCAAAACTGATGTGGGTATGATTATTAGTTGACACCCATGCTGGTTTGCCAAAAGCTGAAATCGTCTTTTCTGAGTAACTTCTACTCAGAAGGCAACTAGAAGGAATGGCTGCCACACATAGTGCCAGAACACTGTATCCTATCTCTGAAAAAAGTTTTTTTCTGCTGTATGAATGTGAATTATTTATAATATTGTGGTAATTTAGATTATTTGGGAAGCCAGGAGTCAGAAATCTGAAATAAGCCCAAAGAAGTCGGCTTACAGGAAAATAGTTTGAAATACATTTTCTCTCTGAAGTAAATATATGCTGCCCTATATCAGCTGTAATTTTGCATGAGAGAGCAAGAAACATATGCAAGAAAAATCATTCCCTCTCGTTGGAAGTCAACCTTGGTGGTGGCTTGGCCAAAATTAGGTTATAGGAAAAATGAATCTTATTTAAGAGGGAACTTAAAAGAAACACTTAATCCCAATTACGTCTAAATTTGGGAACCATTCTTCCGGGTATGCTTTTTTAGGAAGCACCACGAGGTGGCACACTCTGCATTACCGAATCGATCCACCAAAGCCATCTGTTTTTGAAGTCTTTTTCACGAAACTGAGTTTATAAATAATAATGATATAATCCTGTACTAAAATAGAATACGCATATGTACATGTATATGAATTACATAATTAAAGATGCATTATAGATAAAAATATCTGCTAAAAGAATGCCATCATGGCACAGTCAGAAGTCAGTAAAGCCAGAGTTAAGATTTTCTGTGCAATCTGCATCCCACTTCCTGGGGCAGATGATACCAGTCTTCAACGGTGTGGTCACATAGATTTTTCCACAGGATTCTTGTTGTCTTAGGCATAGATCAAAAGTCTAAATTGGGTCCCCAGTAAAAATAAACACTCTATTTGATTTCTGTCTTCTTATTGCTTGTTTGGAACAATGCACGCCAGCATACCAGCTGAATTTTGCTCTAAATTTAGACCTGCTTCTTTTTTTTTGTTTGTTTGTTTTCTGGATTTGGTTTTTTTTGGGTTTTTTTGGTTTTTTTGGTTCTGTTTTTTTTTTTTTTTTTTGTGTGTGTGTGTTGTAGGCTACTCATCAATATGTTTATACAGAACTAAGAAGCTTTAACTGGATTTATTCCCATGTCTGTGTTATGTGAAGTGAGTGGGCATCTTTTTTCCCATTTTACAGGTTTGGGAACAAGACACCAGATTAAAGTTGGATGTGTTTGGTACCAATTTGCCATGTATTTTTAGTCATTTGCATCAGAAAGATTCAGCATGTCTGTAAATTACATCCTGCAAATTAGTTCAACCCTGCCACTTGGGGAATTAGATGTAGACAATTAATGACCACCTATGAAAAAATTTGTAGTGAAGTGTCTGATTTGGTTTCCTGTAGGACATCTAAGGCAGAGACAGAATCCAATTCTGGACAGCATTTTACTGTTTAATCACAAGACCTTTGTCCCACATTGCTCCTGACCTCCGAACAGACCTCAGAACATCAGTAGTAAATGAGACACAAATAGAGCAGATATATTCCTCTCTTATGGCATCTTCCTAGCACCCAAATACCATAGTGAAGGCTGGAATTTTTTCTCTCTGCTTCCACTTGAACTAGAGAACTGATTGCTGTAGTAGGTACAGTACTCTATAGAGCACAGTGGGGGAGATAGAGGTTAACTCTGCAGGTGGGGCTGATAGCTAATGAGATCAGAAAATACTGGATTGCACTCCATGATTTCCTAGGAAATTACATCTCTGTCCTGATTCTGATCTTGTATTGCCATGTCCTTTCCAGCTTTTCATTGAACTACACCTGACTTTCTACAGTACTGCTTCTAGCACTATCTTTTTTTATTAAACCAGCCCCAGCTATTTCATTTTTCACCTTTACTAAGATTCTGGGTTCACCTCCTCCAAACTCCCTCACTCCATTTTTAATGCCCCCTATATTTAGGCTCCCTGTCCCAGTGTACTCTAGATTTTCCAGTCTTGGCATTTCTCTCCTGCTCAGGCCACAATTGCCTTGCATTTTTTTAAGTGCAGAAGAAAAAAGGAGGAGTTTTCTTGCCTTTGAAAACTGACGTATCTTAATTTTATTATTCTCATTTTTTAAAGTAAAGAAGTAGTATTTTTTTTAAGTGTCTTTTCTAACTTTACAGAAATATACTTCTGGTTTGGAAAAATCATTAATTTTATAATACTGAAACTGAAATTCTAAGCCTCTAAGAATCACAGTAGTGGAAGTGAGAAAGTTGTCTAAGCAAATTTTCCCATGTACTATTTCAGTTTCTGGAAACTTCCATTTTTCAAACAAAAATAATATTATTTCTGGTAAAGAACTGTTTCAGGATTTATAAACATTTGCATTGGTGCTGACCCTTGAATTTTTAAATAGTCAAATTTGTGACTGCCTTCAGCTGCTTCTAAGTTTCATCAGCTGTGTCTGCTTGGACTGAAGTTTTCCATGGTCTTGGTATAATTGCATTTATATTAAGATCCACTGGTAAAATTTGGAATAATTGAAAAAGGTGAATTGGTTTACAGAATATTTTTTCTTATTTTTGAAGTAGATAGCTGATTTTCTTTTTTTCTAATAACAACTATGCTTGTTTCCTGTCTTTGAATAAAACTTGGCCACGTTTGGACAAAGTATAAACTGAAGAACTGCAGTTTGTACATGGTCATGAGAGGTGAGTTAGGAATATTTCAGTGTTTCCAGAGTCTCTAAGCAAGAAAAATACCATCAGTTCATTTAATCTGACTCTCTATACACCACAAGCCAGGATGTATCATCTATGTGTTTTTATAAGTGTCTTCAGGTTTTGTTCTATCCCTAACAGAAAAAAAGAAAAAAAAAATTGCAGTTAGTAGGAAAAGTCTTGAAAGGACTACTGTTTTTTGGTTGGCTGATTGATGTTTTTTGCCTTTTAATGCCTGGAAACTCCTAAAGTGAGAAATGCTAGGAGACTTCAGAAGACAGCACAGAATGTGAGAAAGCTTATAAACCCATGTTGATAAAACCTAGGGTAATTGGAGGAGTTTGTTCTGGGTTTACCTATGGTGATTGTTATGATTCCTAGGTATAATCCCAAAGACTGACAAATATCTCTTGCAGTGACTGGTTGAAACTTGTGTATATATGGTTGCTGACCAGCAGATGCAGTCAAATCAGATACTGTTGCTGAATTTTGTCTTTCTATAGCACACTGGAAATATTTATTCAGGTCTTTATCCAGTTGTCAAATTTCACAAAATTAGTGTGAATTTAAATATCTTTGTTCCCTCAGGTTTTTAAACCTGATGAATTTGATCATCATGTTAAAATGTTATGGGAGGGACCAGCAGGTTCCCTGGACTTTCCTCACCAAGGCTGCCCTGCAGCCACCCCACAGCCAACACTACGCTGCATAAACCCAATGCAGAACTGCAGAAAATTTCATGAGAGAAAAAATAATGGCCTATATGTAGCAGAATTTGAATAGTGGTTGTACAGTGAATGATAGGAAAACAGTTAAATTCTTAGTATTTTATTCATTCCTGTTTACTAAATGGATCAAGGTGCATGTAGAAAAAATACTTGCACATGTGACCAAATAGTAAAAACTACCTTAATGAAGAACTATGGAGGGATAAAATAAGATTGGCTGAAAGGGTTTTCATTTTGATATTGCCCAACTTGTCTTTATACTGTGGTATTTCATTTATCTATATGGATTCTGTGTCTGCATTGGTGCCTAGCACACTTCGTGAAACATTTAAATATGCTGTAGGAGGAGTCTGACAGTAGTATTTGATATACTGAATAGCTTGGATATTTTGAGAGGTTAAAATCTTGTCATGATGTGGTAAATAGCCCAAGTGGTAGGTTTATGATTTAAATATATGGAGGGCTTTTACCTGTTGCATTTTTGTGTGTTTCCCTCCTGCCATGCTTTTAAAAGAAGAGGAATAACATCAAGCACAAGGAGAGAACAAAGGAATTAATATCAGCAATTTTATGACTGATCTCATTTCTCTCACTGCTCTTTTTATATTAATCTATGTTTATCAAGTGTTTTCAGGAAATGCACTTGGAAAAGGTGTTTCAGAAGTGTTTGAGTTGTTTGGCAGATGGTCTGCTGCATCAAATAGATCCCTGTAGGCTTTAAGGGAGATGCCTGGTCTTCTTCACTGACAACGAAGTCTTTGTAGCACAGGGAAAAGTACAGGGGCCTGTCTTTTCTGCCAGGTTTTGGTAACTGCTAGACCCACACATCTCCAGCAAGCCTCTTCACCAGGATTCTATACATCCTTCCTGTGCAAGCTGCTGAACAGTGATCAGCTAGGATTCCGTTCTGCTATTAGTCTGGAAACTGGAGTGTGCAGGGCTCCATATAACCTGTTGCTGATCCCAAATATCCTCCTTGTTTCTGTCCTTCAGGCACGATGGTTGGTGATCATACGCGCTTGGAGTTCCACAACATCGAGACAGGGATCATGACAGAGAAACGGTACATCTCCGTCATCCCCTCCAGCTTCATCGGCCATCTCCAGAGCCTCATGTTCAACGGCATGCTCTACATCGACCTGTGCAAGAACGGTGACATTGACTATTGTGAGCTGAAGGCACGCTTTGGTCTCCGCAACATTATAGCTGACCCTGTGACATTCAAGACTAAGAGCAGCTACTTGAGCTTGGCCACCTTGCAGGCTTATACATCCATGCACCTCTTCTTTCAGTTCAAGACCACCTCAGCTGATGGTTTCATCCTCTTTAACAGTGGTGATGGCAATGACTTCATTGCAGTTGAGCTAGTCAAGGGGTAAGGGGCTTTCTGTGATTTTCTACCAGCTCATGTATAGATAAACTTACTTATAGGTGGCCTTAAAATGCTTGCATGAAGAGAAATTCCCCTGATACTCATGTTTTTTCTGCTGAGCTGTAAGACAAAGGGTTCAAACAAAAACACTGAAGCTTAAGACTCCTGATTTTATCACTGACTTCCTTCTGTGGCTATGAGAAAGACATTTTTACAGTGTGTAAAATACTAATTTTAAATAGTTTGGACGTAGTTAATGTTTTGTCCTGTCAGCCTCACAGATGAGCACAGAGGAGGAGATGTGCTGTGATCTCCATATGTCTCTTCTTCATCACTAACCCCCCCGCGCCCCCCTCCTCTTTTTTTTCCCATTGTAATACTTCTTTTTCTCTGGTGAAGGAAAAAGAAAAAGCATATGGGCTGCTGAATTTGTACTTCTACTGGTGATGCTTGATGAAAAGCGACTTGCTTTTGAGCTGCTATGTTCTTTTCAGAAGACCAATAGCTTATTAAAAAAAAACCCCTTTGTTAGCTGAACGAATTTTGATCTCTTATGAATTTAGTCATGGTAGACATGTTTTCCACAGATTACTAGTCCCGTTTATTTCAGTTCAATCTGTTTTTGTTTTTTGGCTTTGCACATACTTCTGTAAGTGGGACATGGAGTAATAAAAAAGCAGTAGTCATGAGCTCCTGGGCTCTGTTGAGAGTTGAAATTTGTTGTCTTTGTTGTTTTATTTTTTCTTTTCTATGTAGAATACTTCTCTTCCATCCTCAGGTGGATTTCTGTGTTTGAACTATATAAATAATTCAGGGTAGCACTCCCATGACTTCAGACTTTGTTAGGGTCCCTATTTTTGCCAAAAGCTTTGCTAATTGTTTTTCAGCTGTTTGAATAAGTCTAAGATCTCATGAGAATTTTAGTACAATATTTCAAGAGAATTTCCCAATTAACTTCTTATGGGAGTTATTCAAAACTGAGAATTAACCTGGGGAATATATGCCCCAAATAAGCATATCTAGTGTTGGTCCCCAGTAAGTTTATCAAAATTACCAATTAAAAAAAAAAAAAAATTCTATGCACAGACAGTGTTTTTGTGGATCTGAGAGAGCTTTGTGAAAAAGAGGAATATTTTATGTTTAGAATCTGATTACTTGAAATGTTGTCATCTCAAAATACTAATCCTTACACTTTGGTAGAAAGGAAACAACTATATTCTTTCAAAGCAGTGGCTAATATTTTGGCTTATTAGAACTTTATTTGAACAGAGATATTTCCCTTCATGACTTTTAAAAGTTAATTTATCAGCTCTGGCTACAAAACCAGCTCAATGTTTCAGTAATGCTGGAGTTCTTCCAGAATTTTTACCAATTCTTTCTATATTTACAGCTATATACACTATGTATTTGACCTTGGAAATGGACCTAATGTGATCAAAGGCAACAGTGATCGTCCTCTGAATGACAACCAATGGCACAATGTCGTCATTACCAGAGATAACAGTAACACACACAGCTTAAAAGTGGACACTAAGGTGGTCACTCAGGTTATCAACGGTGCCAAAAATCTGGATCTTAAAGGTAAACTCTACAAGATTGACAGATTCCCCCTTTATTCCTTCAGGGCTGAACTAGTGAGCAAGAGAAGGCTTGGCATAACCATGCATTACAGAATGCATGGACTTTGCACTTTCTGGATTTCGAATTAATTTATGTATTTTTTTGTTTGACAACTTCTTTGTCATATTTTGCTTTTTCAGAAATTGTCATTTTTCAGTTTTTCCTAGTTAGATATCAATGAGAACTGGAATTATTTAGGGGATTTTGTGATGGGTTTTTTGTTTGGTTTTTTTTGTTAGTTTCTTCTTTTGTTTTGGTTGGTTGTTTAGTTTTGGGGTTTATTTTGTTTTTTTGTAGTAAAGGAAGCATAAGTGACTTCTTGCATAATACATTGCTCTGTTTTTAACTTTTTCTGAACATGTGTTCACTTTGCTTTATTCACATTTGGTGGCAAGAAAAATTATTCTAGAAGGTAACATCCTCCTTTTTGTATGTTTACCCCTCTCTGCTCTAGGTGATCTCTACATTGCTGGCCTAGCTCAAGGCATGTATAGCAACCTCCCAAAGCTTGTGGCCTCACGTGATGGGTTTCAGGGCTGTCTGGCATCTGTGGACTTGAACGGGCGTCTGCCTGATCTCATCAACGATGCTCTGCACCGCAGTGGGCAGATTGAGCGTGGATGTGAAGGTATAATTGATTTCAGAGAGGGTCCCCTCTCCAGCACTCACTTTGCACTTCATTGTTGCTCTCTGTGCATCTACTTGTTTACCTTACTGACCATTTCATTAGCTATTCCATTGCAATATCTTTCACTACACTTTTGTCTACCAAATGCAGCTTAAATATTGACAGTTTCTGTCAGTGGCTTAGCGCTCTTTTCATATATGCTTCATCCCTTATGAGTTGGTACATTCAGTAGTGGGAAAGGATGGTACTAGGGCACGGACTACTACTTACTAGTAGTTTTGTAGTTTTCTCAGAGTGGTTTATTAGCATTACAGTACTCTTAAAATACTTTGGAAGATGTTCTGTGCCTGAGTGTTCAGTTCTTTTGTGCACCCTTTCTTGGGATCCACAGAAGTATGTATTTGAAGAACAAATAGAGACAGGAGAAATGGAAGGTAGAAAGAGCTGAAGGGTAAAGATTGGACTGAAAGATGAGTTAATTTTTGATGAGGTGGGCCTCTGGTGAAAGCACTGGAGACATTGACTCTTCTGCCTGGAAAACATTTCTCTTCAGCTGTTTCTCTTTTCCAGACAGTTTAGAACTGAGTGGAATGAGTTACTTTTTGAAATATGTAAACAGTAGTGATTTCTTGAAGCCTCTTTAAATAATTTGCTGTTCCTGTAAGCTCCCATTAGTTAAAAAGAATATTGACATCAGCATCACTGACTCAGTAAAATGCATATAACTTCAATTCCCAAAGCACTTGGGATAGTTACCATCCAAAACTCCAAGGTTTTGCTGTCTGGGTTAAATGACAATCACCATTATGTCTAGAATCACTCAGTCTGCTGTGTTGGCTACCAGTCACTAAAGGAAGATAGTCATTGAACTTTCTTGACCACATTGTTCCTCTCATGTGCTTAAGCATGATTCAGCCTCTCTGTGCACCAAAGCACACACCTACCACTGAATTATCTGTGTTCCAGTGATGAGTAAGGCTTCCACTTGAACAGGAAGCACTTTCAGTAATTTGTGTTTATAGGGCATCTTTTTCTTTGGAATCTTCCAAAACATTCTTAGTCATATGCACGAGTCATTCTTGAAATCCAGCCATCCTTGAGACTGAAATTGGCTGCTGTTTAACAGTGTATAATAGTGCTAAAAAAAGTCACTTCAAGACTTGAGGCAAGAATTACTTTACCTCCGATTCTACCAATTCTATTGCTATAATTTCTTTAAATTATACATGGTGGGATTTGTTTAGGCTAGCACAACTAAATAACCTCTTCATTGTGCTTGTTAGGTGACATATCAGCTCCCTTTTGCATCATGCAGCTTCCGTGTGTGCTGTGGAAACTTATGGTTTCAGCTTTTGAAGTCTACCATTCAATCACCAGTGTGTTTGACAAGATGATAGCTACAACACTGACATGTTTTGTGTTTCAGTGTGTCCTGTAATACCATTGCTTTTGGCAAAGGATTTTGAGGGGGATTATCTGGAAGAGGAGCTGAAATATCAAATGAGTTTGAGTTAAAGCTTCATGTCACACACTTTTCTATGTTTTTTTTTTTTAATGTGGTGGTTTGGTTTATTTTCATTGGTCTTTTGCAATTGCTGCATTCCTGATTTTTCAGGAGCAACAGGCAGCTCTTCACAGATCTTGATGGTCTGGTTGGATCTGTAGTGGCATCTTGTGTTTCCCTGGGAACATGTGGCAAAGCCAGGAGCCACCTTGCTGCCTGATGTGTTCAGGTGTGCTACACATAGCTCTGAGGAGAATAAATCTTGGGGAGAATGACATGATACCAATATAGTACTTCATTTTCACGGTTTCTTGATCTCTTGTGCTCACTGCAGCTTTCATCACTATCTCTGACATAACAGGAGGGCCTTTCCCCATACCACCACCCCAAAAAAGGCATTGGTGAGAGGGCCTGAGAAAAGCTACCAAAAGTAGGGAAGTGGTTAAGACTTAAATGGTCCTTGTGTCAGTGTTGCATCAGGGTATTAAACACACTGAAGAGAAAAAATGAATTCTCAGAAAGGATTTCAAATGAGAGGATCTCTTCTAGTGGAAGCTCGAAGGCAAGTCTGCCACCTACTTTAGGCCTTGCTTTCCCCACCCATAAAATTAGTCTTCCAGGTATTTGTGTATTTGTGATAAAAGTAGGAAATTCATCTGTGCCTTGCAAACCACTTTGAAATTGTGGGTGGAGGCTCCTGGACAAGAGCAAAGCATTCGAAACTGAAGAAAAGTCTTCTATCACGAGGTAGTTTCCTCCAGTCTGTACCACCTCAACAGCCTATGGGGGGTGGTTGGAAACTTTTTACTCCTGAATTTGAGTAATACAGACTATTCTACATCAAACATACACAGTTTGAGAGAAAAGATGTCTGCATTATGGTGTATATGAAGAGTTAGTAGATAGAAGAAGTTGTATCAGGTGACCTCCTTTCCCTTCTTTAAAGTAAACAATTTAAACTTCAGCTCAGCTTTTTCTCACTTCTTGACTTTTAAAACGAGTTCTTCTTGCTGAACTTGTCATTCCTGGTCTTACTACTAGATAAATGGATCAGTTTATTCCATCCACAAAAATCTAGACTGAGTGATTCACTGCATTTTTCTCACTGGTCCTTGAAAAAGTTAAGCAGGTGTCCAACCTTTTGTGTAGTTTAAAGAGGATGCCCTCAATGTTCATGAGTACTTTCTGCCTTTGAGGCATTTTTTCATCTCTTTTTTGATTTGCCACATGTTCTCCTGTGTTTTCCTTTCTTTTAATTGGACATCCCTAAATTGCTTACCATGGGCACTAGAGCTATCTGAAATTCAGTTGCATGTTCTAAATATTTTCACCCCATCCTGCATCCAGCCAAAAAAACCTAACAGCAGTGGCTAAAGATCATTTTATTTCTTCTGTAAGGTAGTTTTCTATGTGCTTTAGAGATGTTGCTTCTACCTCACCTGTTCTACTAACAGCTTCTCATAAAGGAGACTGATTATTATTAATCTGTCTGACACTATTCCAGATGTTTTGGGACTTTTTTTTGTCCTAATTTAATCTTCTTTGCAGATCCCACAGTAAAATCATAATCTTTTGCTACCTTCCATGAAATAGTATAGTTAACCTTTGAAATTCACTGGTGCATGAAAAGCATGAATGACATATACAGGCTGGATAATCAGAAACACATTTTGCATACTAAGCACTATGTGGGAAACAGCAAATCTAATCTCATGCTTAAAATCTCACAGCAGGATAATGTCAAAAAGGATTTCACCCTTCATCTGCTCGGTAGAGAAATTTCAAATCTGGTCATACTTCACTTTCTCTGTGGAATCAAAGGTTGTCCATGGAAGAGTGGAGCATTAATTTGTTCCATGATGGTTTGACATCTTTCCTTTTCCTTGCTTTTGTATTCTAGTCTAATAGTGCTACTGGATTTATGGAAAAAATATGAGCTTTTCTCTCAGCTACAAAGAATATGAGGTGCAGGGAAGTAGGAAAAGGACTTGTTTGTTACAGAGAAATTACTTCATTAGAATACGTGTTGAAAATGATGCATGGAGAAATGCATCCTTTTCTTTCTACTCCTTCCCCTTTCTTTTGAATTTTGTTTAAGGAAAATGGGATTTTATAGCTTTATGTAGTAAAGCAGTTTCAGAAGTGGAAAGAAAATTCTGACTGTCTCAAAAGGGAGGATAATTGCTATCTTGAGTCATTCATAGGCTGTGAAACAGCCAAGATTCAAAATGTTAAAAGTCTTAGGAAGCGCAGGAAATGGCATCTGCACGTGCCAGTTCTAATTTATTGGGTTGTAAATGTAAAAGAAGACAATGAGGAAAGGAGAACTACCAATCTTTCTTCAGTATTAGCTGTGATAGTAGAACTTTTTAAGAACAGGTAAAGAAGGTAAGTACACACTTCTTAAATAACCATCTTTTGAGCAATGAGGTTGATGATTTGGTGTTTTGCTGTTCCTGTTGTCCTATGTAACATAAATATTTAACCTTCAGAAGCAGGGGATTCAGGAGCTGCTGCCTGTGCTCCAACCTTTGTCCTCTACTTTTCCATTCTGAAAGAGAAAACTTAGAATCAAAATATAACACACCAAAAATCTATGTGACTTTTTTATAAACTGACTCAATTAAAAGGATCAAACCAAACAAACAAAATAAGCAAAAATCCCAAACAAAATTTTAAAAAAGCAACCCTGTGCCTACACGGAAGAGCATCAGTTGTTACTGTTTTTCTTTCACTGCTCTTCAGTCTTCAGAAAGTGTATTTAAATCTTTAGACAGTCAGCCTTAGTAGGTGTATGACTTTTTTTTGCCTTGTGGACTATGATTTGACCACCAATAACAAGATCATTTTGACCTAGGTTAAATAATGAGTGGTACACTTAGTTTTTTTGATTGCTCTGATGACTGATTAAGACTATATGAGTCTAAAGCCTGCTTGCCTGTTGATGTAAGTTTTTTTAAGGATGTGTTGAAATCCATGAGCAGGTGACAGCTTGTGAGGGGGCAAGGTGTTACTGTCACTTATATCCAGTGTCGAGTTCAGTTCTTTGGATAAATAGAAATTTTTGTCTTATAGAGTTGTCAGTCCTTTATGGTTTTCTGGCAATAAGTCCACTTTGGACAAAAAGCCAAACAAACAAAATATGTGCTTGACGGAGGTACTGAAAGTCAAATAGATTTTTTTACTTAAATGGATTCTATTCATTTCTCAAACAAGACAAAATCTCTCTAAAATTATTGTAAATGCCAAGAGATGGGTTAAAGAATGTGATGTTTTTTGGTTTTTTATTACCTGCAAATTTTGATTTTGTGTGTGCATGAATGAAATGCCTTTCTTCTCTTTGTATTTGGTTTTGTTATCTGTTGGTTGCGTTAATGTAGTCATTGTCCCTCTGTGCCCTTGTTGCTTGTTTTGATTATGTGTGCTGGCTGTGATAAGTATCCTACTTGCTTTTATTTATTCAAAGTGATGTTACCCTGGTTCAACTGCTTTTACA